GGCGGCCTCCGAAGAATGCGGCTAAAACTTTTGCGAGATCCCGAGTTTGTTTTGCGAGATCTTGCAAAAGTCCGTCTTAATTTTTTTTTTCTCCCATGTCCCCTGCGGGGCTCTGTAGTAATCCATCCAATTTGAGAAAATTCAAGGAGAACCTTTTAAATGTTAGCACAGCAGCATCATCATTCTGTTTTTAAATCACCCCCCACTTCATATTTTTCACCTGATGGTAATCATCCCATCTTCTGTGGCTCTGCACACTTTGAAAACCCCAGAGGTACTGGGAATATTGTGTGGTCTTTACTAATAACAAAAGTCAATTAATTGATTAATAGTGCAACTTAATAAATTAGAGAATTGTATGTGAATCCAAAATGGAGCCAGCTGCTAATGATTTTAGAAGACTGTGGTAGTATGAAACAAGAAAAGCCCAAGCCCAAGAACACAAAAATTCCACGCAAAGCCAAAGATGGCTCGAGCCTTTAGAAGGTTCTCAAAAATAAATGAGTACAGACACTGCAAGCTAAAGCTAGCATAGCAACTATTCAGTCACTTGAAAGCTAATGAAGTCAAAACGCAGTCAGTAAATATGAAGCACTATTTTGTTTAAAACGCTGATTCTTACCAAGTTTTTCCTCTTCTCATTCTGGACATCTGTTAAAATGGTCAGTGTCAGCTGATGTTTGGAAACTGTTGGGCTAAAAATAAGTGTACATCCTGAGAATCAATAACGCCCTGCACTGCAATCCATTATCTCTACAGGTGGATGTTCAGGTTTTTGTGCCATCAAGATAAAGGTTTCATGCTCTGTTCGCTGTGGGGGAGGGGAGGGACAAAAATAGATATGAAAGTGCTGACAGCACTAGTTTAGGTTTTTCAGTTTATCGATGGGAGTCAATCAAACCCCCGAAAAAAAAGAAAGAAAAAAATCACTGCAAACCTAACCCCGCTCATTAACGCTCGGTCAGTCTAAATGCTCGACTGACAGCTCGATAAAAGAAATGTGATCCTTCCACCAACCTAACTACTACCACGACATGCTTTCTGATCAAAAATGACATGGCGCTTTATTAGTTAAAGTCAGCTGCTCGTCACCTGACTTTGCCCTGTACTGTACAAGCGTTCTTACAGGATATCTGATAGCTGTTATCGTGATTCTACTTCAGGTTCAGCAGCTGTACACACAATCCTGCTTTGCTCCGAGTGGCTGCAGATGACTGCAAACACACAGATGACTCAAAAGCTGTGACTGACCCAACACCGGACTAAACACACAATTTGAACCAATAAGCCTAGTAATAGTGCAGGTTACCTGTCACCATACCGAGTCAACTCAATGTGTCTCACAGAACAGGACGTCTGACTAACCTCTGTTAGAGTCATTTGCCTTTTTCTTCTCTATAATATGCTTTGGTCTTGATTTTAAGATGTAAAATGCCCAGACATTTAACACAATGTTATTAAAATTGAACTAAATCATGAACTTTCTTCCCCAAAGTGCAGAAAGAGCTTTTTTTAAAAGCCTTCTCACGGCATGCTTCTTTTGCCAGCCTTAACTTTTTGCTGACCAACTTGTTCTCTAAGCAAACTCCTATCGATACTGTCAGTCAACTTAAATCAGCCAAAGCACTACAGAATTAAACAAAAGTAGCTAACGCACACTAGCAGCAATCAGCAGCATCCCAGGCTGTAAAAGGAAGTTCAAGTGCCAACAACTACAGTTCATCTGTTGGCCACTTGAGGCTGGCTCCAGCGAATCAGTTTCCACAGATTCTCTCCTGCAAAGCAAACTTTTATCCCTTAGGACTTAAAGTTAGGTGTCCGTCCGCTCTCACTGCACTGGACCTTTTATTTATTTTTATTGTAATGGAAATGGTAGTGTATTCAACACCACGTTTTCTCACCAATGTGTCCACAGCAGAGGATTTGCTGTTTCTGCTGCCTTTTAAAATGTTAGCATTCATGTTCATGTCACTTCTGACAAGGTTACGATTTCTGACACACACGAATTTCAGTTTTGCGTGTACTTTGAGTGTGCTCTGCGAGTGCCGACACTGGCGGGTGTAGTTGATAGCTGCCTGCTATGCTTCACCTTCACTGACCTGAAGCCAACTGCCAGAAATTGCAGTTCTACTAATGGCCACTTGAGGCCTGGTCCAAAAGGGAGCCAATCTGCCTAGACTCCCATATTAACACAACTTTACAGCATTAAATAAATGGTTCAGTATCAAGTTATAAAAAATGTTACAAAATTGTTACAACCTACATGGAGACAATTACAACAGTTTTTTTTTCAGCAGGTCGCCAGTGAGCATCTGCTAGGATTCACCTCACCTAACCAGAGTCACTGACCTCTCAACCATAACTGTGCCGTTGTGCCCAGAGTATGTTTAATGAAATTATCTGACAAATAACATGGGATTCCATGTGGTACAAAGCTTCCAAGCAATCTGCTGTTCCACTTCAGTTGATTAAATAGTGGTTCTTCTAGAACTGATGATTTAGAACTAATTAGCAGGTTTCTGTGCATCTAGGCTGAGACAGCAACTTAGCACTCGCTGTCTCATCTACATACGGTCACTTCTTGCTCAAAAGAAACAAAAATGGACAGATGGACAATCTATGAACCAGAAGATGACTTCAAAATGGCTTCAACCACCTTTCACATACTGCGTACAATCGACATTGATATCTTAATCATGTTTTTCAGAATATAAAAACATTCAAATGCATTCTGAATTCCCCAATCCCCAGGCTACAGTCAAATTCAAAGCTAAATTCTTTTCTGCATAAGACACACAAATAAAGCTCTCGTAGCCCAGACATGTGAAAGGACACATTCTTCTTCCACGTTTACAAATGAGGACGGAGGGCCTGAGAACGCTCTGAGCAATGAAAGATTTAACACGGTTGATTTAGCATGACTTCCTGATAGGAATGTCCATTTCAGCTAGCCCATATTGCCTCTTTTAAATCAATAGCAGCTCCACATTTAATGATGCCTTCATTTCCCTGCAGCTTGACACCTCAGCGGGCACTGCGGAGTAATTCAACTCGTGTCCTAACAGCAGCGAAGTTTTCAATTTTCATCTGGGTGAATTTCTACAATCGGTGCAGTTTCTGAGGGTTATGTACAACTAAGTGACACTTGCCATCATTATAATGGCAGTGCTCTGTAGCCGTGAGGCAATAAAATAATCAGGTTGGTAGCACTGCAGTGGATCAAACGGCAGCTTTATGGGGGCTGAAACACAAGGTGACCATTCATGTGGGAAACCCTTTGAGGTTCCCCCTGAAAGCGCAGCATTGGTAGCTGGTAATCAAGCAGAATGAAATGAATTGGCAGTGTAATAAAGACGAGGGTAGCCAGTGATTTGCTGCTGTTTAAAGACTGATAAGTTCTTGAAGCACAGCGTGTAGCATCAAGGAGTTTGATTTGTCTTTTTAATGAGTTGAATTTTTGAGAACTGGCCCCGTGGATAACCATTTGACCCACCCTGTCCTATAAAGCAGGAATTTTCTGCTGTAGTTACAAACCACAAGAAATCCTTCTAGGATAAAAATCAATGCTCAATCAATACGTTACATGAAAGATGGTATCAGTTTGATCTTTTTGTGGGAACTGCTGATTAGAGGGGAAAAAAAACATACTATAATATTTATCTTTTAAAAATAACAGTCTTTCTAAAGCTACATCTAAAGCATCAAAACTCATTAAATTAAATCAACAATCTTAGATTTACCGTTTTATTGGTTCCCGCTTTAAACTAACAGTCCAATCAGATATATGAGCATGAAAATGCAGCTATACAAGTCGCAATGAGCTGAGATAAAAGGAAAAACAGCCTCTGTGACCTCAAAGCAGAGCTCACACAGGAAACATCCTCAGGCTCTTGATTTACTCCTGTACATGGATGAGAAGAGAAATTACCCTGTCCTTCATCCGCCAGCTCTGCGCCAGGGCCTTGGAGCCCTCAATCTTCTCTGAGTGCCTCTTCTTCATGAAGGCCAAGGGAAGTTTCCAGTCATTCATATCGGCCTCCTCTTCCTCAGCGAGGCCCACGGCCGGTGAATGAAGCAAGTCTGAGTCCATTTTCATCAGGGCCCTGCTGGGAGAGCGCTCATGTTAATGTCACTGGTTTGGGTAGCTACTGGGTGTCCACAAAAAGATTGGCAGGCTCACTTTAGCCAATTAATTGCTGCATATAGTCGATATTGACATTAGTCTCAAAAATAAATAAATAAATAAATACATAAAAATCTTAAAACATAATTTGGAGACATTTCCAGTCCAGATGCAGCCAAATGTGCCAAATTTGCTAATCAAAACATACTGTGCAGCAATTTTATTAAGTAATGGATAATAAATAATAAGTAAAGAAAGTAAAAACAGAATATATACACAACAGATGTAAGCAATCCTAAATACATTTTTGGTTACCAACTGAGATATTCATAGGAAAATTTAAACAGCAATAAAAGCACACTGTCAGATAACTGCCTGTTCAGAGAGCTCGAGACTTAGATCCAGATTTAGATGAATTTATTCAAACGTCTTCAGTGTTTAAACAACTTTTAAAAGAACTTTTGCTTCCTTTTTCAGTAATAAAACATTTCATTATATCATCTTAGCACAAGTATAAAAAAAATTAAGCATCATGACTTCAATTCACGTCTCTTTGTGCAGCTGTTGAAGTTCTACAGGATGAAGACGTGACCTGAGAGGCAGCCGTCCCTGTTTGCATATTATATATATGTTTGTCCCTCTTGGCCATGCTATCATCACAGATACAAGCCATTTGTTTTGGGCCAAAGTCTGCTTTGTCAATATGGATCACCAATCATCTGATAAAGTTCTGTCCTCTTAAACGCTTCCTATACAGGATTGGTGAGGGCTTATCCAAGCTGGCATTAGAAAGCAGGGCTAACACAGTCAATTTATAATTACTAAACACTTAACAAGCATTGTGGGAAGAAGCCAGAGTACCCAGAAGAAACCCATGTAGGCACAAGAATACATACAATGTCCACACGCTGCGTGGACCAGGGTCGGCGAGCACATTCAAACCGTCGTTGCCGTTTGCTGACCTCTGCACTGTCCATTCTGTAACTTGGATTGAAAAATCTATCTCCAGTTGTAAACAATGGGTACACCAAACCAAAAGCCCCCCAAAGGCTTGGTCATCATCAGGCTGCTACTGTCCGATAAAGTAAGAACAGCTCCATCCCTCCTCGTACTGTTGTTATGGGCTACACCAAGCAGACTGTTTCTACACTCAGATAATAATCTGATTATCAACACTGGCAGCTGACTTTTCCACTTTATGCCCTTTAAGTCATGGGATGGTGGTTATGAGTCATTTTTATGCCGTGTGAATCTGCTGCTGTGAATCCTGTTTGAATGAAACCCACAACAGCAACTGAAACCAAACACACTCACATCTGGCTTCCTCCACTTTATTTTAACAGGCTAGCTGCCTGACTCTGTAGTAAAGCAACAGCTGTAGAGATGTTTCAGCTCTACAGCTGGAGCCACGGGACAGGAGGTCGATGGGTTTTTTATCTTTACTGCCTCTGCATTCGTGCTAAAACGGCCCAACTGTGTTAAACTTGACTGCAGGGATGCTGGCGAGCAGCAGGCTCAGTCCAGTCCAGCTAGCTAAGCTAAACTAGCGCGGCTAATGTAACAGCCCTGCTGCTGTCAGGTGTCAGACTGCACCGAGGCCAGTAATATTCACTTAAAGCCTTTTTAAAGCGAGTCTCTGAAACCACACACGCGTGACAGAGATAAGGAGACAGATCAAATGTGCAGAAAAGGCACCTAGAGTGTCAGCGAAGCGTGCAGATGCAGACCTTGGTGCGGTGGGATTATCAGCCCGGGCTGTGGAAGCTCTCCTTCTCCGGACAATGACAGACACGGTCGCACACACAATCCTGGTCAGCAAATTGTAGGGCAGCGTCCAGAGCCTGTAGAGTAAGTCAAAGCCGTCAAATCCGAGCTGCACGGGCGCGTGTTTGCAGGGGAATCTGCGGCTCCTCTCCCCACGGCTCTTCGCTATGGGAAGGGGCTGCAGGCGAGGCCCATCTTCACACGGACAGTCTGCCACAGCCACACGTAACGGCGGCCGCACTTATCAATGACTGGGCTCGCGTGGACTCCTTCTACGTAGCAGCGGCCCTGGTAGTCGGCTCCGAGCGACGGTCTTCGAGGAAATCTCAAATAATTCCGGGAATTTCTCCGAAGAGGCACTTCTTCAGCACTTCTACAAGGGCGCAGCCATCTTGGGTTGAACCCAGAATGCACTGTTGGGGCGGCGAAGCTGTCGTGAAACGTCACAGCTGTTGTTCCTGGCGTCACTCACCAAAATATAAACACACGTACTCACGTCAGCCTGAAGCCTTTGAATCCCGCACGAGAAAGTGGCTTTGAGCTGTCCTTGCACGAAGGTTGCAACTAATGAAAAAGTTGTAACTGAAGTCTTTGTAGTTCTTGCAGTTTTAGCGTAAGTGTACATTTACCGACGCAAAACCTTTCTTCCTCCAAAAAGCATTTACGATTTTGTAAATGCTTTTTTTAAATGATAATGGCCATGTTTTTGTTTTTTTTCTTGAATCGAATTTTAGTATTTCTTACATATAATTTTTAGGACTTTTCCCCGCATGTTGCTCTGTCACCAGATTACTTCAGCTTGACAAGGTGGTTTGCTTTGCTGCTTCCTTTGGAGGGACAAGTCCCTCTGTTTAGGAAAAGGTGCTTTGGAATTAAGAAAACGAGGTTATTATGGTTTTGGTTTTCTTTCTTCTCCTGACATTTTTCCCTTGAATTTAATTGTAGTATTTTTTATAAGTATTGAACTTTATATTCTGCATCTTCAATTTACAGTAAAGGTCAAAGAAAGAAAAATAAACTTCAACTTGACAAAGTGCTTTACAACGTCATTTGAGAAAACAAATCTCATTATTTAAGAAAAGGCGCTTTGTTATTTTTAAAATGAGAACGGAGGTCTGGAAACAAGGACTTTTTTTCCCCCCAACATATTTTTTCCAACTACCCGTTTAATGTAGTTTGTAGTAACAAATTTATATTAAAATATGACTTCATAAAATCCATAAAAGCTTGGTTATTAGCTTACAGAAATATCTTGTACCACATGCGTGGTTAAATACGTCTCACCACAGCTACACCAATTATTTCCAGTAAGCTTAAATGTATTGAATTGCTGCCATGCGATTGGTTGATTAGATATTTGTGTTCATAAACAGTTGAAGGGGTGTACTTAACAAGCGCTAGTGAATCTGGTCCTTATTTTTGTACCAAATGTCCTTATTTTTCCTTATTAAAGGGAAAAGGTTTTAAAAAAAAAGGGGGGGGGCGGGGTTGGGAGAATACACTTACACAGGTTTGTGGCCTTATTTATTCAGCGATAGTGGGGAAAAGCACTGACATGGATCCTTACTTTCATCCTAAACATCAAAGTATTTGTTTTAATTGTGAAACTATTTCAGGATATTTTGCTGTCACTTAAGGGGACATTTGCTAAATGTCATTATTTTTTTTAATCAATGCCAGCTAACATTAATTTAGTTGTTACACCACAAGCCATTCAATATTTATACAATCAATTGACTTGTTGTATGAGTAGGATATCAGTCCATTTCAATACTATTGAAATGGACTGACATTATTACAGCTGTTATCTTGCTTAATAATCACCCAGTGTGCTTTAAATTACCAGTCACATGCACACAAGTTAGAATAATCAACTAACCTAACAGGCATGTTTTTGGACTGTGAGAGGAAACCAGAGCACCTGGAAAACCCATTTAGTCACAGTTTGAAAACATGGAAACTCTGTACAAATAAAATCCTCAGGAGGGCTCAGTCTCAGAGCAATA